CAGCATGGCCAGAAGGCTCCGAAAAGCTGAAAAACCGGAAAGCCAATTTTTGGGGGGACACTGCCTTTGAAGATGAAAAAATTTTCTAGAATAAAAATCGACAAAATAAAGCTCAAAACAGAGCAAAAGAGAAAATACCAACATGAAGTGTGTACGAAAGAGGCCGTGGTTAGCCGACTGCTTGAAAATTCCTTTGGCGTAGTTCCACATAGCTTCCGTCTCAGAAAGTCTCTGGAACAAAAGCCAATTCAAAAGGTAAAGATTGACTGCGTTCTTCTCTGATGAGAACAGAGATTACCATCGCTCCCGCATTGGGGACATATTCCATCCTAGGCTGAAGAGACAAGGTCGCCCCTTTCATGCTCTGATGTCCTTCTGAGCACAGCGGAGCTGGACGAGATCGTACCAGGATACTCGTTCCAGTGATGGAGAATATAGCATAAGATTTGCCTACAAAAATTGCTGATAATCGCACATATCAATATTAGTGGCCCCTACCGTTTTCAGAATGATTAGTCACAACTGGCTCAAGATGGTTCAGTGGAGCATCTAGCGATGGAAGTATGGAATCAAGAGGATCACAAAAATCACTGCAAGCAAGATTAATTTTTCTAGAAAATTCTAGATGGCTGGGTTACCTCTTCTTTTCCTCGAGTGCAGGGGTGGCATTCTTAGCAGCAGACTCATTTATGGCTGGTGTTGTGGGTACTTCAGCTAAATATGGGATTAAAACGTTCGGCATCAACAATGCAAAGTTAGCTATGTCTAATTAATACCTTTCTTTTGAATAAATTTACTTTTGAGCAAGTATTTGACAAACTGCCTTTGTATCGTTGCACGATCAACCGTCTCCAAAACACGAGGCTTGCCGATAATGGCAATACTGGTCATCGTGCCTATAACATTTTCACTTTAGACCCATAAATTCTAATGATAACTCTTGAAAAATTACCTTGGACCAATTTCTCAACGACGCGAATGGGGATGCCATAAGTGTAGTCATGCCCAGCAAAAGGATCGCTCATCAGATGGCAAGCAGTTGTAGCATCCATAGCAATTCGAACATCATTTTCCAAACACAGTGACGTTACATTCTGGAAGCAATTCGAACTGTGGCGCTTAGAAGCTGAGATACAAAATCCAAAAAATTTGTAAAATCTCTTCTGTTGGTATTGTTTTGCTAGCCACCTACTATGATAAGATGAAAAATACCTCGAGATCGTCAAAGATATGATTTGCGTTGCATTCGTCCAGTGGATAAAGTGTGGAAAGTTTGGAAGCATCTAGTGAGCATCGATTACGTAGATTCGGAAGCTGAAACAGAAAAATTTAGTTACGTTCAAGTCAACATTTCCCAGAAAGCGTGCGAGAAAGACTTTCTTATGCCAGCAAGCCCTTATGTTACATTTTAATTATACAAAAAACACCCCATTCATGAAACGCAAGAAGTTGTGAAAAATTTCGTTCCGAGACGTCAGCCGCATGGCCAAGGACGTGACGCAACAACAGCATGCATTCACCACCTATTCATCGCAGCAGCGTGGCGCAGTGGAAGCGTGCTGGGCCCATAAC